CCCCCCCCCCCCCCCCCCATCTGAACTACTTTAAGCAACAGAACGTCAGTGTCGTTTCATGACTGGCTTCAGCATTAATAAACCATATAATAAACCACAGAACAAAGAACCTGGTATCTGGAAAGGTTCCAGCGACAGACACTCCCGGACCCCATGACCGGTAAATGCATAAATTGATAATCCGATAAACAGAAAGCGACAGATTAATAGCTCCATGTCCAGCGAGAAGAATAGCAGGTCTATGACCAGGACCTTTTGACAACCTCCTTGACCTCAGGGTTTTCTCTGTGCTCCCCCTTCCTCTAAATTCCAAGAAAACGCGCCTTCTCTTGGAGAGACAGAGGAACACGCAAAACTCACCAGGATGATTTCAACAGACAATCATTTATGCGTATGAAAGGGTAACCATATTCACAAATAATATGTTGTATGTCTTAGATATGCTTGAGGAGTCAAAATGTAACCTTGCAACTTTAATCAATGTTGTGCTACCCCCTTTTAGCAGATAAAGCTATTAATATGTGACGTTTAGTGTTGAATTAAAGTGTGTGATAATTGCCGAACAGCGGTCTGAATGAAAAAGTGGGAAGTATGTACAATACTCGCATTAAGAAACTTTATAGAAGTATCAACCAAATCTTCACAAAGATATTTCTCCACATGATAAATTGAAGCCTCGTGTTAATGTATGCACGCTCCGCCTTGTAAGAAGTCGATTGGAAGATCGCGCCTTGGGACGAACTTATGCCGCGGATCAAAAACCCAATGCAAGACAGACTTGCTTACTTGCTTGCTTTTTCGCCTTTCGCCATTTTAATAGCACTCCAACTTGTGCTCACACGAATATCTTGCTAAAACTTTGGGCTTTCCTCAGAACTCCATTAACATCATTTCCCTGAACCTTTGTGTGTGTGTGTGTGTGTGTGTGTGTGTATGTGTGTTTTAGCTTAGTTTAATGTAATCTAGAATGGCCAATAAATTCTTGTTTCATTTATAAAGAATCATTGTCTTGCGCTGTAATTTTAAAGTTAAAACTCTGCCTAGATCCTTGTTACCTTGCTCAAAATTAATAAGATTACCATTTTGTTTATGTGTCATTGGCTACAAAGTAATATGAACAGAATCGTTAATATACACGGACGTTAACGTCTCGCGGGATGAGTAGTTGATCAAGTGTAAACTATCAAATTTGAAATCAGTTCTAATCAGGTTGACTTCGAATTAATTCCCTAAGAAAAGTGATCTGACATTACACAGTTCTTTGAGCAGGTTTATTCAGAACCGGTGGTAGCCCCACTGGTTGATAGGCCAGGGTCTGGTGTGGTTTTTTTAGACACCTGGCCGTATCCCCTTGAAGGAATCTCTTTCTTCTGATTCCAAGCCTTGAGCCGGAGGGGATAATGTCACTGACAGCCGTCAAGGCGTCATAGGGGCAACTCCCATGGCTATGGTAGAGTTGGTACTTAGTGCTCACCGTGGTTTTCTGGCATGCACTCCCCTCAGCATGGTGGCGTGGATATACCGTTCCCCATAAGCGACCCCTAGAGAACACAGTTCGAAGTTCCCTCGAAAGGGAATTTCTCAAGTTACATATGTAACCATGGTTCCCTGAGAAGGGAACAAGACACTGCATCCTCTAGTTTCCTTGCCATGCTTCAGATGCAAACTTCAGACGAAGAAGCGGATGACGTGTTATTCCGGCGCCCTTTTATACTGTGATCACGCAGGGTAATGACGTCATAGGCTGTCGCCGGCGAATGTTATTGTCGTTTTTAGATGTATGCTTCAGACACCGGTCACACTGAAGGCGTTCCCCATAGCGAACCCTAGAGGACACAGTGTCTCGTTCCCTGTGGTTACATAAGTAACCTGAGAAGTTCTTTCCACATACTTTAGAATGGAGCCAAATTCGGCAAAGATTTGATGAATTCTGTAAGGAAAGTTTAAAAAAATACACTTTAAATAAAATTCTAAATTGCAGACAGGCACTATGATGGACCATGGCAAATATGATATCATTGTACTCAGTATAGCTCAAGATATCTTACAAGACCAGTCTCACGTGTTTGTAAAATATAGAATTTTTATGACAAAATTCAAAATGGCAGATGCCAAAATAGGAACATTGGATATAATTCAGCTCAATATGCCCTACCGAATAAAAGACCAGTCTCTTGATTTTAGAATTTTTAACAACTTATTATTAATACATTTTTAATTTATTTATTTTTAATAAATTATTATAAGATACTGGTTTTGCCTATCATAAAGGTTTTATAAAAAAATTCCTAGCATGGGCTAATGATGATCTGAACTAAATACAATGAATATCTGATCAGCTGTCTAGGATGAAAAGGTAGGTTTTTCAGAAAATTCAAAGTGGCATGTTTCTAGGCCATATGGTTCAAAAGTTCAAAACATAAGTGAAATTTGCAGTATATGATCATATTGTCTTCTACCTGTGTGCCAAGATTTCTTTTCACTGTTCTGTGGCCTGACAAAGACTTCAAGAGTTGTAGAAGAAGAAAGAGATTATCTAAGTAATGTAATGAAATACCTCAGTGTCTTCAGTGTACAGTTTGAACTCTTCAGTCCAGCACAGAGAAATTTCACTCCTGAATTCTGCAGGTCATTGTTACTCAGGTCCAGCTCTCTCAGTGATGAGTTTGATGATTGAAGCACTGAGGCCAAGCCTTTGCAGGATTGATCAGTGAGATTACAGATTGCCAGTCTAAACAGAACAACCAATTTTCAAAATAATCAAAACAACTATTTATTTAAATATTTTTTAGTTAAAAATGAACAAAAGTTAATTTTGGCATGGCATGTTTTACAGCTAAAAGATTAAATTGTTAAATTAAAAGGGATAATAAGGAAAAAGCACAAACTCGGTGTTAACAGGTAAGAAGACACATTCTCTCTCCTCTAAACAGTAACATGCAGCTGTCATTCCTTTATCCTTTATCTATTCTTGATAATTATATGAATTTGTAACATCATTACAGATAAAGATATAACTGTAAAATGCAAATGCTTTAAAGAACAACAAATATGTCAAAGAACCTGACAGGACAGGTTATATGCTCATGAGTTTGTTTGAAGGGCATAATATAATGTGTTGACGTCTTAGGCAGCTTGGATTGTGCAATTTTTCCATCACTTTGTGATCTTCACTATTTTTCAGATGTGTTTTGTCTATGTCTTTAATGATAATCAAACTACAAAACAAAATATCAAAAGTCAAGACATTTCAAATTCTTGAACACGTCTGGGGGGACACATGGTTAACTGTATTTTAACATTACAAGGACGATCAGCTGTCCTTCCTGTCTCCCTGTAGCCTTGTCTTAGGCGTCTTACATTATGGACATTACAGTTTATTTCTCTGGACAAATCTGCAATCCTCACGCCTCCCTGCAGCAGGACTCAGGACCCTAAGCATCCTTATTCTGGTGTTTTTCAGAGTATGTAGAAATGCAATTTATTATAACGTTGACTTTAATTGCCTTCTGCCTGTAAACCATAAGTAACTAAGGACTAAGTGTTTTGTTTGTTTATCTCTCTCGAGCAGGGACAGAAGAGAGCATCAGCAATACCATTTGATTGTAAATAATAAATATTTGTGGTACTGTGAACAGAATTAAGCATTGCCGTCAGTCTAATATATAATTGTAACATGGACAAAAATGAAGCTGGAATATTATGCCTTTCTATGATAAATAATTAGTCAAGATTAAATATGTTATAATTGTATATTTTTAATATTAACAGTATTTTTTTATATTTGATGCCAATTTACAAATAAAAACATCACAGTTCCAGCCCTACCGAGTAATATTGCAAACTGTCCCTTTGTGCCACCAGGTGGTGATTTCACAAACAGGTTTAACAGTGTTGACTTGATAGAGAATATAACATTATAAGATAAATGAATACTCACATAGCTTTTCTGCAGTTGTTCACAGCTGGTATCAGTCTTCTTATACCTTCCTCTGTTGTGTTGTATTTCTTGAGGTCAAGCTCATCCAGCACCTCCTCTGACATTTGAAGCATGTAAGCTATTGCTGAACAGTGAGCAGCAGAGAGTTTATTCTTTGAGTGTTTGTCTTTGAGTGTTGATTTCACGAAGTCTTTAATCTCTTTGTAAAGAGTCAGATCATTCACTTCCAGCAGACAGAGGAACAGATTGATGGATCTGTCAGCTGAAAAAGCATCATTAGCTCTGATTGTGCTTTTAATGTACTGAGTGGTGTTCCTGATGCTCTCTGAGCTTTTCTCTGTGTATCTCAGAAAACCCTGTAGGAGTCTCTGATTGGACTCCAGCGAGATGCCCAGTAGGAACCGCAGGAACAGATCCAGGTGTCCATCTTTACTCCACTGGGTTTGGTCAACTGCTGATAGTAATATTTCAGAAAGTGAGATCTTCCTAAACCCGAACCATTCAAAAGTGTTCAATGTTTGCATGTTCTTAGCGATATATGAGTGAAACACAAAGTAAGCAGCAAGAAACTCCTGAAAGCTCAGATGTATGAAGCTATAAACTTTTCTCTGATGAATCACAGATTCCTCCTTAAAGATCTCAGTGCAAATCCCAGAATACACTGTGGCGTCAGTGACGTCTATGCCGCTCTCAATCAGGTCCTCCTCATAGAACATCACATTGCCCTTCATCAGCTGTTTAAAAGCCAGTTCAGCAAGTTTCACAATCATTTCTCTATATGACTGTAGGAGCTTCTCTAGATTGTCCTCTTCATATTTCTGATTCTTTGTATTTATTTGAATGAGCAAGAAATGTATATACATTTCAGTCAGAGTTTTAGGGATTTCTGCACTGTCATTGTGTTTTAGGATGTTTTGAAGCACAGTGGCTGAGATCCAGCAGAAGACGGGAATGTGGCACATGATGTGGAGGCTTCTTGCCCTTCTGATATGTGAGATGATTCTGCTGGCTTGATGCTCATCACTGATTCTCTTCCTGAAATATTCCTCCTTCTGAGGGTCACTGAATCCCTGAATTTCTGTCACACGGTTTATGTATGTGGAGGGGATCAGTTTGGCTGCTGCTGATCTGGAGGTGATCCAGATGTGAGAGGATGGAAGAAGATCTCCTTTGATGAGGTTTGTTATCAATACACCCACTGGTGAAATTTCAGCAATATCAGAAACGTTCTGTCTGTGTGAAAACAGTGTAATTCTGTTTTCGTCTAGACCATCAAAGATGAAGACAACTTTACATTCATCATAAATCTTAGAGTCCAGAACTTGAAGTTCAGGATGAAAGTCCAGCAGAAGTCTGTGAAGACTGTACTGGTGATCTTTAATCAAGTTCAATTCTCGAAATGGAAGCACAAACATGAAATCTACATCCTGATTGGCTTTTCCCTCGGCCCAATCCAGAATGAACTTCTGCACAGAGACGGTTTTTCCAATTCCAGCGATGCCTTTAGTAAGAACAGTCTTGATTTGCTCTTTCTCCTCACATCCTGGTTCAGGTAAGGGTTTAAAGATGTCATTGCAGTGGATTGGAGTGTCTTGTGACTGTTGTGGTCTCTGTATTTTCTCCATCTGTACAACCTCATGTTCTTCGTTCACTCCTTCACTCTCTCCTTCTGTGATGTAGAGCTGTGTGTAGATTCTGTTTAGCAAAGTTTGATTCTTTTGTAATTTGATTCCTTCAAATAAGCTCTCATATTTGTTCTTCATGCATGTTTTGTGAGTGTCTTTGATTCTCTGGTGCCTGATGTTGGTCTCCACTAAGGAAGTGCAGGTCAGATGATTCACAGATTTCACCAGATCATTGTGTTCATCACTGGAGAGACAGCAACAAAAACTTTTTTTTTAAACAGAGAAAAATGTGAAAGTACAGAAAACTATTACACAAAAATATCAATCATGATTTAATATTTTTATAGTTAGAACCAATAATGACTTGCACACTTAAAGGTTTGCTGTAAAAACATGTTATCGATGTCCATTAGAATTTCTAATTCTAGTCAAAAGCACTGTATTTTTTTCTTGTTTTGTTGTTTTACAATGTTAGTATCACAAGCATCTGCACATACAACTGCTAGGCTTAATCTTTGAGACAAGCATGATACTTGCAGGATAAACTATGTAGTCAGACATTAGCATAGCCTCAGGAAAGGGGGGAAAGCTGCTTTAAAGCAACACCAGGATGAGTAGATAATGCCTGAATTTTAATTTTTGGGTGAACTATCCCTTTAAATTTGCACTTAAAATTAAGATTTTGTAAACTGTATTTTTCACTATTTGCATATATCTACATATTTACATTAATACTGCACATTGAACATGGCAACATTCAAATGTATTCTGAGATGACTATGGGTGTATTCACACTTGTAGCTCGGTTCGTTTGGTTCATTTGGTCCGGACCAAAAAGGAAAATGATACATGACATGAAATGATATTTGGTCCTGGTCCGCTTAGCGTTCACATTGGCATTTTTGACAGCAAACCTAAAGACACCGAACCTAAAGGCATAGTGATACGTTCACAATCTGATTGGTGAATGACGTATATATCGTGACGGAACTCACCGAACACCCCAAACAAAAGGTGCGTTAGACTTAAAGCGGCGCTGCGGGTGTATGATATCAAAGCATCCATTAACTGATCGGTCTGCTCAGCATCGCTTTAAGTCGAACACACATAATGCCGTCTGCTGAACTAAGCGCGCTCATTCTTTCTGTCACGAATCCAGTCCGTGGCCTTCCGGCCGATTGCCACCAAAGGTCGCTCTTCCATTACATTGAATCTCACACCACACAGACTGTTACACATCACACTGCATTTCCCATCATCCATTGCACTGATTACACACACACAGCTGCATCCAATGATACACGCTTTATAAGCCATGGACTTACTCTCTCTCACGAAAGGCATAGTGATACGTTCACAATCTGATTGGTGAATGACGTATATATCGTGACGGAACTCACCGAACACCCCAAACAAAAGGTGCGTTAGACTTAAAGCGGCGCTGCGGGTGTATGATATCAAAGCATCCATTAACTGATCGGTCTGCTCAGCATCGCTTTAAGTCGAACACACATAATGCCGTCTGCTGAACTAAGCGCGCTCATTCTTTCTGTCACGAATCCAGTCCGTGGCCTTCCGGCCGATTGCCACCAAAGGTCGCTCTTCCATTACATTGAATTTCACACCACACAGACTGTTACACATCACACTGCATTTCCATTGCACTGATTACACACACACAGCTGCATCCAATGATACACGCTTTATAAGCCATGGACTTCCTCTCTCTCACGGCCGAGTATTGTCTGCGTTTATCGCTCTCCAAGTGATATCACTTTACGGAGCCATTTCCCTGTCTTAGTTTCTAGTTTCTAGTTCCTAGTCTTAGTTCCTAGTTCTAGTCTTAGTCTAGTTTCGTTGTGTTTCCTGATTTCCTGGTTTCTGATTCTTGCCCGCGTATCTTGGATTTACCTTTTGCCTTGCCGTTTCGGACTGTGTTTGCCCCTCGCCTGGACTATTGCTCTTGTTTACGGATTACCTCTCTTGTCAAGCCTTCTGGATAACGTTCACTGTCGTCTGACACAAGCCCGTATTGGATTGTTCTTTTGTCTTGACTGTGCCATACCTGTTTGCTGTTGTTCGACTCTGCCTGTGTTTTTTGACCATGTTTATTAATAAAAGCTTGCATATGGATCCACACGCCTCTCGTCTCGTCGGCTCCATTACACCTGCGTGTACATATAATTTTATTTTCACCAGCTGCAAACTCACAAGAAGCTCATAAAAGACACTTTACCTCATTGTTGCTCCACGTTTGCCCTCTGCTCATTTTGTTTTGGTTACACCGCATCGTCAAATCATGTCGCATAGCATCGCATCTTGTCATTATTTCCTGTTTTTGGTTCGTTTAGAAGTATTTGGTCTGTTTTGCGTTCATATATAATTCGCACCGCACCAGAGTTCGTTTGGAAGCGGACCGAGACCCATCTTTTCAGCGGTCTCGGTCCGCTTGTTTGGTGCGCACCAGGGTTCAGATGGCAGCATTCACACATGCTCAAATGAACCGCACTAACAGAGCAATCACACCAGGGTTCGTTTTAATTTAACCAAACATGCCAAGTGTGAACGCACCCCAAGTTAACATTTTCACATCCCTACAATTAATCATTTATGTTCTCTGTATTTTCTGACAAGCCCCTTTGCCTAATTTATTATAGAAGAACTGTCCCAGATAGCAAAAGTGTTTGGGGCAAATACAGCTCTGAAAAAAATTAAGGGACCACTCCCAATTTTTCTTAAATCAGCATCTGAATTTCTCAGACCACATTGCTAAAACTGCCCGGTCCTGCAGATTTGTTTTATACAACATTAGGAAGATCAGGCCCTTTCTTTCAGAACATGCTACAGAACTCCTTGTTCAAGCCCGTGTTCTGTCCAAGCTGGACTATTGCAACTCTCTCTTGGCAGGTCTTCCAGCCAGTTCTATCAAAACTTTGCAACTAATCCAGAATGCGGCTGCAAGATTAGCCTTTAATGAGCCAAAAAGAATGTACGTCACACCTCTGTTCATCAATTTGCACTTGCTACCAATAGCTGCTTGCATAAAATTCAAGGCATTTATGCTTGCTGACAAAACAACCACTGGCTCTTCAAGTGAACGGCGCACTATAGTGCCTTCACAAAGAGGCACAAAATCACTTTCACTGACTTTTACATGAACTATTCCATCCTGGTGGAATGACCTACCCAACTCAATCCGAGCACCTGAGCTAACCAACACTTGTCACAGCACTTGCATATAATTGACCTTTTGTTGGTTTTGATTGCTTCTATTGTCCTCATTTGTAAGTCGCTTTGGATATAAGCATCTGCTAAATGACTAAATGTAAAAGTAAATCTCTACATGTATGGCAGCCATTCCATTCCATTTTCTGTTGAATTACAATACAGGCATTTACATTTACATTTAGTCATTTGCAGATACTTTTATCCAAAGCAACTTACAATTGGGGAATGCAAAAAGCGATTCTTCTTAAAGAGGCGAACAGACACAGGAAGTGGTCGTAATACCAAGTTTCAGGCATTGTTCAAAAAAGTACAAGCTAGAAAGGGAAGGAATAAATAAAGAGAAAGACAGTTTTATTTATATTTTTTTCAATTAGGATGAAGTCAAGTAGCGTCGAAAGAGATGAGTTTTCAGCTGTCGCTTGAAAATTGTCAGGGATTCAGCATTCCGGATAGGGGTGGGAAGATCATTCCACCAGCCAGGAATGGTGAACGAGAATGTTCTTGAAAATGATTTTGAGCCTCTCTGTGATGGTACCACGAGGCGTCGCTCACTAGCGTATCTCAGACTTCTGGAGGGGATGTAGATTCATAGTAGTGAGTGGAGGTAGGCGGGTTCTGAGCCTGTGGCTGTTTTATTTGCAAGCATCAATGTCTTGAACTTGATGTGAGCTGCAACCAGTAGCCAGTGTAAGGAGATAAAGAGAGATGTAAAATGGGCTCTTTTGGGCTCATAGAAGACCAGTCGTTCTGCTGCATTCTGAATCATTCGTAGAGGTTTGATTGTGCTTGATGGGAGTCCAGCCAGAAGAGCACTGCAGTAGTCCAGCCTAGAAATGACAAGGGCCTGGACAAGAAGTTGTGCAGCATGTTCCGTTAGAAAGGGCTTGATCTTCCTGATGTTGTGCAATGCAAACCTGCAAGATCGAGCAGTCTTTGCAATGTGGTCATTGAAGGTCAGCTGGTCATCAAAGATTACACCAAGATTTCTGACTGAAGTTGATGAGGTAATTGTAGAAGAACATAGCTGGATGGTGAAATCATGCTGTAGAGTTGGAGTGGCAGGGAAGACAAGAAGCTCAGTCTTTGCCAGGTTGAGCTGTAGGTGATATTCTTTCATCCATGCCGAGATGTCTGCCAGGCAGCCTGAGATCCGTGCAGCTACCGTTGGATCATCTGGTTGAAATGAAACCAGGTTGAATCATCTGGTAATATTGAAACAGATTCTGTTTCAATATTATACTACTTCAAGTATACAGGCTCAGCTATTCATTATTAGTTCAACCCCATACTTCCTCCTGGACTTCCTGCCGCAAGTGTCAACTGTTGTCAGATCTCTTTTCCATCTGAAATTAAGTGAAGGATGTTTATAGAGAGGCGAGTGTGCAGGAAGTTGAGGTGCTGTGTGCTGTAGGCAGATACCGCAAAGGGAAGGCAGCAGCATAACTGCCTCAATTTCAACTACTTCCTCTTGGCTGTCGGCAGTGTGAGTGAAGACAAGGAAGGACCCCACCCAACTCAACAGCTTTTGTTGGTTAAAAACTGGAAGTGTTTTTAATGGTTTAAGTTTTGGTTAATGATAATTTTGGTGCCATATCAAATTTAGCCTAAACAATTGACGATAAAAAAATTAAAATAACAAAAACTGCTCCTATACTGATAGCTCTACTTCTTTTCTCCATCTCTGCAGTGACCCAACATTTGTTGATCGCACAGTCGCACGTGGGGATGTGGAGGCTGTGGAAATACTGGAGGGTGTCTATAGGAGTCTGGGTGAGGAATGGCCTCAGAACTGGGCTGACTCTGTCAGCTGGGCCCGCAGACAGTGGGAAACGCTCTACAACAATCCCATTAAACAACTGCTACACTGCTTTCCCCCTGACCAGGTAACACAGAGACCAGTGTACACACCAGTTACAGTATGCAACCTAGGGGGAATTGTCACTGTAATAGGGTAAATTTCATGAAAGCATGTCTAGATCATATCCCAAAATCACAACTTTTATAAAACCTATTTTA